GACTATTTTGTAGAAAACAGGCTCTTTTTTTCCCCCTCTAAACGGGCAAAAGGGGGCCCGGCTCGCGCGCGGCTCTCCCCGGCGGAGGCGGAGGGAGCGGAGAGGGCCTCTGGGGTCTATTTTTTGGAGGGGGGAAGCGGTGGTGTGGGGGTGGTGGAGCCGCGCACAGGCGCAGCGGGGAATATTTCCGGCGTTGTGGGTTTGTTTTTTTATTTTTTGGGGTTTGGGGTTTTTTTCATTTGTTTGGGGGTTTTTTGTTTGTTTTTTGTTTGGGTTTTTTTTTTTTTCAGCCATTTTTGCTCAAAAGCCGCTTTCAGGTGCTTTTGCGCGCGGCGGGTGGAGCGCTGGAGCATCTTCGACCGTCGTGGGGAAATCGGGCAGCTGCGTGGGTTTTAAGGAAGACAAGGGGGATTTGAGGGTTTTTTTTGTTTGTTTGTTTATTTAAGGGAGTGGAAGGCATTTTAGTTATTCTGTGATGTGAGGGGGAAAGGAGCTTTCAGAAACAAGCGTTCTGATTAAAATTCAGCATCTCAAAGAGGACAGTAAGTGGTGCTTGTTGGTTTTTTTTCTCCCCCCCCCAGGTGGGGAAGATGATGCATATGGAGTAGGGAGCCTCTTGTCTTCAGGTACAAATAATAGATGCAGGTCGTTCAGCAGTTTCTAGTGATTTATTTTTCCAGACAGTGCAAGAATAGAGCTTGGAAATACAGCTCCTGGCTGAGGAATGCTTTGCTTTTAGCCCAGAGCTTTATAAAATAGCATAATAAACATGGGGGGCGGGGAGGGGAAACGTATTCTCTCATTAATTTAAACAGCAGGTCCATTTTGCTTGTAGTGACTGTGAATGAACGTTGTGGGCAAATGCAAATCGGGAAATTGATTTCTGCAGTTTGCTACTTAATTTTGTTTTTATTTTAGAAGGGAAGAACCTATCCACCCTATTCCCCCTGCTTCTCCCCAACACCCCCCACCCTCACCCCCCCCAAGTTCTCAGCATACCTGGACGCTGTGGTAGTAAGCTGTGACGTGCAGTAGTAAGATCAGAAGTTATTTCTAGCATGCGAACTGGGCTTTTCCCCCCACTATTGTTTATAATCACATTCCTTTCTTTTTTCACAGGGGACAGGTGGCT